ATCTTTGTCTGTGGGAAGAAGGACAGCACAACCTTCCCATAGTAGGAAATTCCAGCCTAGGTTAAGAACAAATATTGAGATTCCCCCCGCCACCCCTTCTGAAGTAACAAAGCTAATTAGGAGCAAGAAATGGACCTCTTGTAAAGATATATCTTGGGGAGGCCTATATAGATGCATATATCAGGACTCCAGAGATCATAATGATCATTTTAAGTTAGACCTAAAAGCAGATTGTTAACCAGTAACTACTAATGATTATGCTAATAGAGCAATCCTACTCAAACACTAACTGCACCCTTCACATTTAATTAACAGACATTGGTTCTTCTGCCCACCTTGGACATTCCACAGGTATATATACTCTACTTGCTTTACCACTATCAGATCCTCTGAGGATGCCAGCTACAAATGCAGGCAAAATGCCAGGAGAAAATGCTGCTAGAACATGGCCATACAGCCTGCAAACCACACAACACCCCAATATTAATTCCAACCATAGTTGAGTTGGAGTTAATATTAACTCCAACCATAGTTTTGTATATTATGCTCTTACATAATATTGTATATTACATAATATTGTATATTATGCTCTATACATAATATTGTATATTATGCTCTTATGGTTTTAAATTGTATATCGTTGATTGATTTTTATCCTTGTTGTAAACCGCGTTGAGTCGCCTGTTGGGCTGAGAAACTGCGGTATACAAGTAAAGTAAATAAATAATAAAATAAATAAATAAATAGTTGAGTTGGAGTTAACTCCAACATCGAGTTGGAAGGGCTGTTTCTGTTACATCACACCTACCAGGGAACAATTTCAGAATACAGGGTTAGTCAAAATGAATAGGCCAATAAGAAAATTAATTTTAGACGAATGTATGTTTACTGTAACCAAACCACAGCTACGTAGCGACAGATAAACTATCAAAGTTTTTTTTGAGCAACACACATGTACGTTAATGCCGCTAGGCGTCGCTAGGGGTCGCTGTTTTCAAAATGGCGGAATCAAGCAAAGAGAAGGCGTTTTGTGTGATGACATTTGCTAAAACAATGTCAGTAATTACGGTCCAGCGAGAATTTCAAGGGTTAGGGTTAGGGTTAGGGTTAGGGTTAGGGTTAGGGTTAGGGTTAGGGATAGGGTTAGGGTTAGGGTTAGGGTTAGGGTTAGGGTTAGGGTTAGGGTATAGGGTTAGGGTTAGGGTTAGGGATAGGGATAGGGATAGGGATAGGGTTAGGGATAGGGTTAGGGTTAGGGTTAGGGTTAGGGTTAGGGTTAGGGTTAGGGATAGGGATAGGGATAGGGATAGGGATAGGGTTAGGGTTAGGGTTAGGACCTCAACGAACACCTTCCCAGACGTTGCTGCATTCGATGCCATTACGTCGGATGTGCTGCAACGGATGTGGAATGAACTGGACTATCGCTTGGACATCTGCCGTGTCACACGGGGCGCCCATATCGAACATCTCTGAAGGTGAGACAAAACTTTGATAGTTTATCTGTCGCTACGTAGCTGTAGTTTGGTTACAATAAACATACATTCGTCTAAAATTAATTTTCTTATTGGCCTATTCATTTTGACTAACCCTGTATATTGCAACAATTTGTCCTTTGCACTATTGTCAAATTATAATGCAGAAGCCCAACAGCCCCTGAACTAAATGGACAACATCTCTGGCTATGGAGTATACCTGGAAAACATCATTTCATCTCAAGTCGCTCCTGACACATACACACACAAAAATCACCACAAATAGCACAGTATTGACCCTATCAAAGGAAAATGCTCTCCTATATTTGGGCACTGACAGAGACTGTATTAATTACTGGTGGGAACATTTAATCTTAAAACTACAGGACAGCAGGATCAATTGGATGGTGTAACATATTCTGTCTGTCGACAAACAAGTTTCAGCAACAAACACATCCAAGCTTACAGTTTGAGCCAAAAAAAAGTTACTAAAGATAAGTGGAAGTAGCTCACATCTCTTTAGAGCCAGCAGATAAAGGAAATTAGAAGGGAGAATGCAATATAGAAAATCCTCCACTAACAAAGCCTTTGAGAAAGATGTGGCTCTTACAAAGTCTTGTTATGCCCCCTCCCTTTTCTTCCTTGTGCTCTATGTAGCTAAAAATCTGAAGACAAATGTTGGCAATCAGAGGATGATACAGAGAAACAGACTTGTGTTGTTTGATCGCAGCAGTATGTATTTAGTAAACAATGAAAACTAATCCTATTGCCTCCATGTGTACTTATGTACAACAGACAAAGTAAACAGCAACCATTGCCTTCAAAATACCTTACTGAACATGCATGAACAGCAAAACAGAGAGAAAAGGTAAAGGCAGATACATCTGTCTCTCCAGCTATACATCACATGCTAAAAAAACTTAGATCTCCATTGAGTTGCTCAATTTTTGCAGTGCAGAAACCTAACTATATTCTTTCCATGTTATTGCTGCCTTTGGTACATTTGGGGAGGAGGGTGGTGGTAAAGAAGTCATGGCTTGGAACACATTTACTTTGTTAAGTGAGTTATACTTTTATTTATAATAGGTACAAAGAAAGGCAGTCACTCAGGCTGGTGATTGCAGTCATATGAGCAGCTCCAAGTGAGTGTTGGCTGCCACTTAAGAGGCATAAATTCATCTGCCTGCCTAGGCTTACCCCCTCTGCCCCCAACTCCCTGCTGCCTGAAAGGTGTGGATCCTTTCCAGCGTAACATAGTGCTTTAAGTGTGAGTGTGGCCCTTTCACTCAGCTGTATAAAATCCACATTGAACTGGATTATATGGCAGTGTGGACTCATAACTCAGTTCAAAGCAGATATTGTGGATTATCTGCCTTGATATTCTGGGTTATATGGCTGTTGGAAGGGCCCTGAGTCTCCTCTGTGGCCCAAATTTGTCCCGACTTTGGGAGACAGGTAAAATGTAAATCTAAGATTGTATGCTGTCTATGTATAGCATACAAATAACACAGGCATCTATGTTTCCTATGTTTCTCTGAGAACTGTCATGAAATATTACTGATATTAGTACATAAAGTAATATCATTATACTAATTAATAGATTTTGCTCCACAAGTTTTAAATGTCCATGATGCAGGTTATCCATGTCCATGAAAGGTTATGGAATCTTCATATGCCATTGACTGTAAAACTCACCAAAGTTATGAACATAACCCCAATATTGTCAATTTCATTGGGCATCAATTGTTCTCTAAGGTTGCAGATAGGATCAATACTTAGCCCTACTTGAAGATCTCCAGCATTCTCTTGTGGTCTCCCATCCAACTATTATGCTTCCCTGACTTTGCTTAGCTTTCAAAATCAAACAGTATTTACAGCCATTCCAGCCTTGTACTTTTGATGATCTGGCCATAGCTACTCATAACCACAATTTGTACAAAAAAGAACCATCACAAGAATAATGCAGAGGATGCCCACTTGAAGACCATAGTCTCAATATGAATCCAGTAGAAAAGTTTAGAATCTTTTGAGTATTGCTCAAAACTGCTAATTCTAGCTGCTTCCACAATCTGAGTCCTTGGTTACAGACATCTACCCAAAAGTAGCACTAGGAGCTAGACAGCTTAATCTGAATAGCCAGAAAACTCAACCCTCAATTTGATTGGCTCTTTCACATCAAATCTGCCACCAAATGAAAAGGCCACACCCAGTTAGACAGTAATAAGTGCTATAAGAGCAGGATATATGAGGGCATGTATAGAATTTCAACAACATGTGAGTACACCTATTTCCAAATACTACCAATGACCATTTACACATTCAATGGGAGTGATGGACAGAAAACTTGAGGGGAGAGGGAATAATAACATCAAGACACTTTCGAATTGAAATACCACTTCCAGAGACTGATGTGTGAGAATGAAATAAGAAACAGATGAGGATTCATACAGTTAACAATCTATGGTAATTTTGGGGCATAAGTCCTTCATTTCAATGTGGTTAGCTATTATCCACAATTTTGCATATTTGTTTGAAATCCCATGGGTATGGGGGTCATACTGGATTGTATAATCTCTTCCCTGAGAACAAGAAGGCTGAAATTATCTTTGTCACTGGCCAAACATGATGGAATGGTGAAGGCCAAGAACATCAACAATGATTGGGATGGTGATAGGTACAAATAGCACCTTCTGGGACCCAACTCCCTTCAATCCCTTTTATCCAATTTGTGACCATTTGCTTTGGGGTTGGAAACTATTTGGAGGCTGTTGCACAGCTAGAGAAAAACCTTTGTGAAAACAGGTACTGAATACCTCTTTGACCAAAGAAGCAAAAAACAAACAAACAAACCCCTATGTTTGCATAACATCGGATAATGCAAGCTTACACCACCAAAAGTGTTCCATCCATGAAGCACCAATATGAAAATCATCCACCATACTGTACACAGTTTCTTGGGAAGTGGTGAAGTAAATGCCAGGCAGCTCTGTCAGATCGACTTCAAAGGTGAAGGTTGCCTTGGGCCAAAACTGTGATCACAGCAGGTTAGATTGAAATTGGATTTCTTGATAGAAACCTCTAGTATGAATTTAAGATATCTGTGTGATACCTGTATGTATGCATTTCAAGTGTCTGCTTCACCAGCTAGCTTGCTGGCAGGGAGCCCAGTCAGGAAAATGACTATAACTTGTGGAAGAGGGGACTCAACCATATTTCTCCATTCTGTACTTCCCATGCTATTTGCTTCAGGGAGAACTCTTCCACTGTCAGTATTATCAGATTCTCTCTGAGGTTGAATTGTAACTTGCTGGGCCATGTGAAGAAAGGATTAATCCACCCACCTTTTGCTCCACACAATCTCAACCCTGCTTCTGTTGAAAAATAGACAAGTTAAATACACATAATAAACATATAATCTAGTTCAGTCCTAATTTCCTTTAAAACTCTAAAATGCAATCAGTTTTTCTAAATAAAATAATCAAGTAGAAAACTGAAGGTGGGAGGAGAAAAAAAATCAGTGTATATTACCTTAAATTCTGTTTCAATGTTGGCTAGTCTTGCCAGTTCATTGCTTAATTCTAAAGCAGTAAGAACAGGGTCTTCACTAGAAAGAGACAAATAAGCGGCACTTGCTAATCCTTTGTAGGCATTCATTCTTGATCGCGAATGACTAAATGAGTCTTTCCTTTGCTTCTCAATGCATTCATTGCACTTACAGAAGTAATCATGGGGCCTCTCTATCCGTGCCCCTTTCATCAGCAGTATATGAACAATTTCATATTCCTGGCAATGAGCAGCAAGTATGATTGGAGTAATGTCATGGGAAAAGCGTGTTCCATCTTCATCGTATGCGTAAAAATCATCATCCCGTAGCTCTTGCTCAAGGGGACTGAGTGTGAGACGTTGTCCTTGTGCAAAGGCCGGGTGGTTCAATATTGCTTCCACAATACGCACATATCCTTTGCTGATGGCTAGCAAGAGGGCATCCCCAACACGAGCCAGATTCTCCTTCTTCAGAAGAAGTTCGGTGACTTCGAGATGTTCATTGCCTACCGCCAGTTGCAGGGCATTTTGTCCCATGTAGTCCACACAGTTGAAGTTCAATGTCTTGGATTCCTCCAGCATTTTCCGCACCACCGGGATGTTGCCATATTCTGCTGAATCCAAGAAGCGTTCCTCCTCAGCTGTAAGGCTGGTGCCTTTCTCATTGAACATGTAGGCTGGACCCCGGGTGGCTTGCCTCCTCCCTTTCTCCCGGAGGGTGGTGTGCCGCCGATGCATGTTTGCAGAGCTCTGGTTTTCAAGCCTGAAGAAAGATGAACAAAATATGATGGATTTTGAAAGGACAGGCATTGCTTACCTTGGGTTTGATCAGGACATGGTGAAACACATTCACTTCCTATTGATTTCAGCAAGTACAATTAGGAGTCCTTAAATGTTCCACTGAAATCAGTGGGAATTAAATGCGAGTAATTGCATATGGGTTGTATTCATTATTTAATGACTATAAACTTTTTATAAATGTTTCTTGCCATGGCATGTTTTATGAGGATTTACAAGATACTTAATATCCTAACTGGCAATAAATATTTGTCCTAATTCAAGTGTTGGTTAATTTTAATGCTGTCAGTTTGAGGGAACAAATTATTCATGCTCCCAACCCCTTTTCACAGTTGAATTGCTCTTTGTGACAGTTTTGTTTGTTTTTTAAATAGCAGTCAGAATACTACATGTTATGTTCTGTAACTTTACGTATTAGTTACATAGCAGAGTTTCTCAGAAATACCTTTACCAAAAAGATGCATAATGGGATACTGCCAAGAGTTCCCAGTGTGTATTGGTGCATGATGTTCATTGGTGCTCTGTGCACATTGGTGTGCTTTGCACATTATTGTGTGATTTACATTGGTACTCCCTATGCATCACTGTGCAATGCATACCACTGCATGATGTGCATTGAGGCAAATTGTGCACCAACACATTGGGCACTTGCTGGTGTCTCATTATGTATCTTCACAATTCAGTAAGGAAATTTCATTCCAATTCAGTAAAGGGTTGAACAGTTACTTAACATCCATATCCCATAAAGGACTGCTGTTACATTATAAAGTAAAGGCCCAATGCACATTGGTGCACAATGCTCATCAGTGCACATTGTGCATTGATGTGCATTATGTGTCAGTTGACATTATGCACCAATACACAATGTGCATCAATATGCATCAGGAACTAATGCACATTGCACACAAATCACACCACATACATTGCAGTGCTCATTGCTGACTCTGCAATATAGTAACATAACAGCACGCCTCTATTGAAATACAGATGTTATGCAATGGTACAGTTCTACTTCCGAGTTCATTTATGAAGATGTAAGGCTCCAACATAATTCTAGCAAGCATCCAGTTGGATCATAATAGCAAGAGTCTACTGCCACCACAACTGAGGTGTTGAGGTACAAGTTTCAAATATTCCTAATGTTCCATATGCCTAATTTTCATGCACCTTCGGTTCAGATTCTTGATGGCTCTTAAATAATTCTCTGCAGGAAAACCCTGCTACCACAGATTTAGGACTGCTGAAGGACAAGGAGGTAGTATTGCAATTGATGTGGGAGACCAGTGGGAGAATTGTTGTATGGCCACATTCCAGCAGCATTCTCTCCTAATTTTTCACCTATATTTGTGGCTTTCCAGAAAATCTGCAACGGAATAGAATTAAATTGTTTTTCCTTTAACATTTTTAGTTCATCTATAAACTAACCAATTCAGTAGGTGACTGTCAAAAAATGTTCCAAATGATGAATCTTTTTGGAATATGGCCATACAACGCAAAAAACTCACAACTGAATAGGAATCGCTTCTGGCAGTGTGTGTGTGTGTGTGTGTGTGTGTGTGTGTGTGTATAGCCTGATGGGTACATGTTCTGTCAGGTTGGGCATTTTGTTTGCACCCGCATCTCTTTGTGGTTGCACTAGCAGTAATGTAAGGTCTGCTTATCACCTTCATCCAACCTTTTTTTCCTGAAGGCAGGTGAGGGTTTGAAACTTCAGAGTATGTGGATGGACTTTGTGGAAGGTCTCAGACCCATCCATGACCCACAGGCCTGAAAATCTCCAAGTGGGAATTTTCTGCAGGGGGGCAATAGAGCTCAACCCCATGAGCAGCTCATTCCAAATTATTGCAGTCATTGTTTCCCTGTAAACAAATTTGCAACACCTCAGAAATCCTTCAGCAAGGGTACTTTCTGCCATAATAGGTAGCTTTTTGAGGTCATATTCAAACCTTCACTACTGTAAATGTAAATCCCAAAGGTCTGCGATCTCATAAATATTGAACAGGATGCTATTTTTTGTTTTGGATGACACCTTCAGTGACACACACAGTGGACATCACCACAATAAATCGTATGGTCAATAATTCAATACCACTTGGAATAATTCCAGTAGCAATTAAATGCTGTTGATAGAAGGGCGCAGATCAATAATTTATGACCACAGTCTTCCCCAAGTTCTCAGCAATTTTGTAATATATTGTTTGAAAACCAGAAATGTAAGATTGATTTATAAACCATGCCACCTTGCTGAAGTCATTAATCCCCATAATAGATTCCTACATTTGAGCTTTATTTTCAACAGAGAGCTAATGCCACCTTTTAAAAACATAAATTTGTAAAAAGCCAGCTATTATACAGATTTCCTCAGTGAGAAATCCCTAGTACTATCTGAAACTTCATATAAAATGGAGATGACTATTCACTTATTGTTAAGTGTGACTTAGAAGATGAGATGTCAGTTTATATTCTAGTGAAAACCTGAGGTTGTAGTAGCAATTATCATATCAATTCTATTACTAATCAGTGGAAATTAGATTGGATCTGCCTCCCTTCAATGCATTTATAGGAACAGAGTTGTCATCATACTTAGAAAGCATTGCCCATGTTCTTGTCCTGGGGATGATGGGAAATGCAGCCCGACATACATTACTCTGAAATGTCTTCTAACGAGGGAACAGTAGTTCTGCTGCTGGAGGCAGAGGGATCTGATCTAAGGAACCATAAGATCTGAAAACCATTCTAGATTTATGCCACAGGAAAGAAGAGATGAAGGAGTACCATTATTTCCCAAATTTGGCTGGTGTCATTCACTTTCTCCATTTTGGACTTCATCCCAGAAGCAGAAGGAAAGTGACGGAAAGCAGGGGAAAGCAAAGGAAAGCAGACGGAATCATTTTACTTTGTTCCCTCACATATTTCCCCATCTTCTGGAATGGCCAGCTATCCCATGTACTTTCCTCATGTTCTGCTTGTCTTTCACTGGATTTTTTGCTCAGTTTCCAAGTGCTTCAAAAACGGAGCTTCATGGGGTCCCACCAGGATTGTCTTTACATCATGTGATGGCCTCCATGGGAATTCATTTCTGCAGCATGTGGAAACTGAGCCAAAAGTGATGAAGTCCTGTCAAGGCCAAGAAACAACTTTGGGTCTTTCATTCTTCTTGGCATGGTCATGGAATTTTCCCCCAATCTGTTCCTCTTTGGCATCTCCTGACATCACAAAAATAAGTGCTTGGAATGGCATCCCAGATCAGATCTGATTTTCTTATTTGGTATTCTCTCATTTTCCTTAGAATGAGAAATCCAAATATCCTGGGAGCATAGGATTGCAGTTATGATTTTCTTTCCCTCGCGTCCATCACTTGGTTTAATGTCATTCTAAAACTATGCCTAAACTTGGTGGAAGATAAACTGTTATGTTACCTCCTGTGTTCTCAGATCAATAATGCCCCAAATATTGTAGAATGATCTGCTGGGAATATCCAGAATGGATGCATGGCAACAGAGTTGTCACAACTACAATTTTTTTTAAAAAAATTAAATTCCTTTCCCTTTTAACTGATTTATGTGTGTGTGTGTGTGTGTGTGTGTGTGTGTGTGTGTGTAAACACTGTTAGAAAAGAACCTGGACAAATGCACTCAAGGCTCATTGTCATGTCATATTTACTCAAGCCTAATGCACCATCGGATCTAATGTAAACCTCAAACTTTAAAACCCTGAAACAAAAATAAATTTTAAAAAAGGATCAGCTGACGAATGCTCATAATTCTCAGCAGCAAAAAGTGAACTTTTTTGTAATATGGCCATGTTTAGAATTCCTTCATTAAAAACAAAAGTGTTATAATACCAAAACTTCCAGCAATTGAAAGGAAAACCTTGGAGTGCATCTATGCTGTAGAATAAATCCACTTTAACTGTCTTGGTTCAATACAATGGAGTTACAGGGATTGTAGTTTTACAAGGACTTGAGCCTTCTCTGCCAAAGAGTGCATATGCCTCATCAAACTACAAATTCCAGAATTACATAGCATTTAGTCATGGCAATTAAACTACATGTGACATCCCTCAAATAGGAGCTCCACGTGTTCCTGAAGAAGCTTCCCCTATTGCTTTGGCTCACCACTAAGATTAGCATATTATTCAAATCTAAATCTGCTTTGAGGCCCCTTTAAGGAGATAAAGCAGGGTATTAATATTAATAATAATATTATTAATAATAATAATCACCTTGCCTTATTATTATTATCATCATCATTATCATGGCAAGGTGATTTAGCCAAAAAGGTGTTAAATTCAAGTAAGTACAGCAATTAAATATAAATATAAATAAAGTATATTAATCGTACTCTTATTCTTACTTCAACAGATCATGTTTGAATTGCTGATTCCAAAAATAGCACCAGTTTTCCCCTATCAGCTCTAGTTTTTGAGATACGGAACAAATGCCATATACCAGTTTTCATCTGTCCACTCACAGAAAACCAGGTTAACCATATTTATGAAACTAGAGCTCATGTGGTCTTTCCAATGCAATTTTCTGAATCAGCACCCCAGATGACCCCAAGAACAGGTCTAAAACCCAAGACACAAAAAACATTTATTATTACAGTTTTGATTGTATGCACCTCATCAAATTATAAATTCTAAGATTCCTTAGGATAGAGCAATGGGAAATGAAACTTTTAAAACTGTGTATTGTCGAAACACATTTTTTGTCAAGTAAACAGTCATTAGGATAAAGTAGATGCTCCCCTCCTGATTCTTTCGACTTCTACTTTAACTGCATACTGATTCTTTCAACTTCTACCTTAACTAGAACAAATTCAAATTATTTCTGACATCTGGAAGGCCATAGATGCCCATCTTTGCCATAGAAAATAGAAAATATGGAGAATTTTAGATGTCAAAGAAAGGCCTTCCCTGGGATCTCCAAGATCAGAGAGACTGTCATTGAATAGATTTGTTTCA